TACGGTGTAGATATGACAATGAAAATCTTAGGTCACAGGTCATGAAGCACTGCTGCTGTTTTAGGCACATGTCTTGTGGTTATATTTCACAATCAAAATCATGCATTTTGGGTACATTTTAAATGATATCTGTTACATACCTTATAATTAAAAAAGTGAACAGAGAAAGTTATCAAAGCAGCTTACAGACTTAGATAACATATTTGTCATGGGGAATAACGTGAATTTAAAGAAGAACTTAAATAACTCACACTGAAGGAGTGCCTTTGAAATCTGAGTCATTCACTTTCTAACTTTATTCATCATTTAAGGAATCAAATCCTGCACACATCATAACACAAAATTGTGTGTGGAAAGGTTATTATAATGGCATGATGTTTTTTTAACTGAATGTGTATTTATCACAAAATTGAGATTTCGGTTACTAAACCAAAACAAAGAATTCTCTCCAGCACTCAGTAAGCTAGAGCAGAGTAAAATGGTACGTGTTGGTTCATCACAGCGACTCCTTCCACAGTACCAGTACTCATTTAAAGGTCCCATGTCATGGCCATTTCTACTGATCATAATTCCATTGTTGAGGTCTACTAGAATAGATTTACATTGTTCAATGTTCCAAACTCACATTGGTTTCTCATACAGCATCTCTGTAAAGTATGTGTATTCACTCTCTGTCCTAAACGGCTTGTTGGAGCTCCTGCCCCCCCCCTCCCTGTGAGCCCAGTGTGCTCTGATTGGTCGGGACATCGCGAGGCTCGCTGCTCAATGATCTGGCTTACTGGTGTGGTTTCCGGGTCGGCGATACAGCGGGAACAAGCGAAACTCTTCCTGAGCACACACAAACACTCACAGCCGAAGTAAAAACAATAAGTGTGGCTTGATATTGAGTAAGAAAAAGGTTTATAAACGCTGTGAGAATGGGTCTGCGGAGTCTGGGCCGGCCCTGAACAATTTGCTGCCCTAGGCAAGATTTTAGCTGGCGCCCCCCCCCCCCCCCCCCCAAAATGCAGACACTCACGATGACTCGTGCATGCATGCACGTGCACGGTTGTGGCATGACCACCAAAACAGAAAGATATGGACACAAGATATGTGCAAATGTATTTAGTATCCTATCCATTTGAACATGATTTAAGTGGGGGGGGGACCTAACCTCCTCTAGGGGGGTCCGGGGGCATGCTCCCCCGGGAAGATTATTTTTTTTAAATATTGAAGTTAAAAGCATCAATCTGGAAATTGTGTTGTTATGAAATAAATAAATAAAAATCTAATTTTTTTTTTGGCGCCCCCCATAGATTGATGCGCCCTTAGCATTCGCCTACACTGCCTATGCCAAGGGCCGGCCCTGTGCGGAGAGCATTTCTCCGCGATCCCAACTCGTCAATTACCAACCAGGGAGCTCTATGCAAGTCAATGGGACTCCCTGTTAGTTGAAAATGTACGCTAAAGGTACTGGTGTGTGAGGAGCTCCGCGGATTGGTCCATTTTGGTTCCCGGAAGAAACAAATGGAAAATGAGAAATGTCCAACGAGGCGTTCTGGGGCAGCATAGACAGGTCTTCTCTGTGTTAGAGTTTTACTCGCTACAGGGTGTACTTTGAGGGTTTGTGACTCTGCAGACCGTTTACATGCATACAAACCTTCATAACACACAAGGGGACGGGTAATAACCGGAAAAGCATGACATGGGCCCTTTAACACATGGGTATTATTAAGACAGTGTACTTAAAGGGCCCATGTCATGGCCATTTCCACTGATCATAATTACATTGTTGAGGTATACTAAAATAGATTTATACTGTGCAATTTTCCAAACTCACATTGGTTTCGCATACAGCATCTCTGTCAAGCATGTGTATTCAGCAGTATTCACTTTCTCCACTAAACGACTCGTTGGAGCTCTTGCCCCCCCCTCCCTGTGAGCCTAGTGTGCTCCGATTGGTCAGCTCGGCCACTCGTTCTGATTAGTCAACCACCAGAGAGGCTGCGCCCATGTCAGTGCTTTTCCCGGCTGCTCTCAGCGTAACATCAGTCTTATCATGGCGTCGGTACAGCGGTATATTTTATATACATATATATTTTTAACTGTTGTTATAGAAGAGTGTGACGGCCCCAGGGCCTTTGTCTTACGATGGGGTGGAGCTGAAGAGGCTAATCAGCACGATCACGGACACCTCCGGACACTACGGCCCCAGTCTCTCTCCAAAGCGGCTGCAGGAAGACTAACTCTGCGATCCTCTCAACCACCTGTCTCTGCATTTACCACAATAAATGTGCCGTGGTTTTGTAAACTCGTGTATGTCTCCTTGTCTTTCCGTTGTGGCCTACGAGCTACTCTCATAACAAAGAGTAAGTTATTTTTACCCGTTATAAACTACTACTGTTTGATGAGAAATCAAATCATGGTTTGCTATATATGAATTCAGGGAAGAAAGGATAGGCCTACTAAGTATTTCCATTAAACTTTATTTTTAGAAATGTACAAAATGAACATAAATATACATATATACACGGTATATCATTCATTCCTCCTCCTCTTGCCTGCGCACAGCCGGTGCGGTGCCTTTTAGCACGAGGCCTCAGTAGTAGTAGAATCCCTTCCCCGTCATGGATTGTCCGCCAGGATCTGGCTGGACGAAATCAAATGCAAATCACAAAATATTAGAGAAACTTAGTTGTTTTAGATTCGTTAGTAGTAGTTGTGTAATGAACAGCTTGCCTGCTAATATGCTAACCTAGCTTTGTTTACCTTGGTAGCTAACACGATATGAACGTTAGCTTGGAGGAAAGGCAACTATAATGCAGTGTAATAAAACTACTATGAACAAAAGCTAGTGGTTCATATTAGGCTAGCAATAACGTGTTTATAATTGCAATCGTATACGGGTATTCTGCTACCATACAATGTAACTTGCATGAATACATTGTTTTGCGCTAGCATACAGCTAGCCTCGTTAGCTACATGCAGTATATGTACGGTCACAATGTACGGTAAACCGGAGTATACTGTATGAGTATTCCGTGTGTGTGACTGCAGACATTCTCCTGCCATGACAAACATGTAAGGCCATCTGCTGACATTGTAGTTGATATATTTAAACGCTAGCAACGTAGCATCACAAAAATGTTTTTCTGACCAAAACTAGCTCTAGCTCCGTGTGTTAGATCGCTACGCCAGCTATAATGTAATTACGTTTCGCGACTGACCGGCAAATCACCCGCAGTATACTGTCAATAGGTATTTTGTGTGTGAATGCAGACATTCTCCTGCTATGAGATACATGTATGCAAGGCCATCTGCTGATATTAGAGTTGATATATGGAAACTCTAGCAACTTAGTTAGCACAGTTAGCACTGTGTCAATGGCTTAGCAGTCCAACACAGTTTACACATTTAAACAGTCTTGTTTGATAAATACACAAATAACAATGCAAACTTACAGGTTGTATACCCAGATCTTCCCCTGCTCCAAACGGTCCAAACAAGCTGTGCATATCCGGCCTCAAACTGGGCAATGTTTTGGAAGCTTTCGTCTGTGAAATGCCGGTTCTTCGAACCTCTGGAGGAGGAACACGCCGCTGCTGGTGTGGCCATAGCTCTTCGGGATTGGTCCATTTCGTTCCGGGTACCGCATGACATCATGCGGTACCCGGAAGAATCAAATGGGCAGTGACGTATCTCCAACGAGGCGTTTTGGGGAGGTATTTTCTGTGTTAGAGTTTTACTCGCTACAGGGTGTACTTTGAGGGTTTTGACTCTGCACACCGTTTACATGCATAAAAACCTTCATAACACACAAGGGGACGGGTAATAACCGGAAAAGCATGACATGGGAGCTTTAATACAGTGTAGCTTTAAGCAGACCTGGCGCCGTGGGAGGGCCAGGCCCATTTGACATTCCTGCCCTCCCCCAAAAAACACGTTTTATTTTATTTATAAAAATGTAAAAAACAAAAATATATATTTTTTAATTGTAAATAAACTGTGAACTTTAAGGCTACGATGTATGTGACGTCAGATAGTAATATAAGAGTAATAAATGAAAAACAGGTATGAAATACTATATGACAGTAAAACAAGAATAGAGTTAAAGGGGAGTGATTAGTAAAATATCCATAAAGAAAAAGTAAATCTGTTTACAGTTCTGTTTCATATGGGTGTTGAGAGATGTATCCATAGATCTCTTCATTTTGCTCTCAAAGTGCACCAGATTGATGCTTTTAACTTCAATATTTAAAAATAAATCTTCCCGGGGGAGCATGGCCCCGGACCCCCCTAGAGGAGGTTAGGTCCACCCCCCACTTAAAAGAAATAGCACTTTACCCCTGCTTACACCTATATGCTGTGAGCTGATTATCGAGCCTTCATTGTAACAGGTGTACTGAGCGTGTGCGTGTGGGGAGTGTTGCAGTAGAACATTCCACTGTAGCCCGGTACCTTAATGGGAAACCCTACATGTTTGAGCACCTTCTATGAAACATCAAGCTACCCCACAGCACCCCCAAAAGAACATCTCTGGCGCCGCCACTGGCCGCGGCACGGTTTTATATGCCCTCTCTGTAGATTTGTTCTGGCGCCGGGTCTGGCTTTAAGTCATGTATCATTATACATACTGCCTTCCTCATCTATGCATCTCCTTTATATAAACACGTTCATCATTTATTCATTCTTTCCACTTTCTAGATTTCTTTCTGAAGCTTTCAGCTGACGGAGGCTGTTTGAACAGGAGACGCTTTACAGACAAGCTGCACCATATTTGTCAGATATTGTGTTTACACATTGTTCTGCTGGTGGACAAAAATCTATTCATGCAGATTCAATCATTGAATTGAATTTCCTCAAAATACATATACTAACATTTAAAAAGTAATTGGTTGATACTTGATTCTAAGATCAAAGAGTCTGCCATGTAAATATTTGTATAAATATATTGACAGATTTGTATAAATAAACACCAACACTAGGCGTCTATGCATAGAAATGAAAAATGCAGGGCAAGGTCTTTGTTGTAGTTGTTTTATTCAAAGCACTGCTAACACTGTGTTGTACAGTCACTTGAGTCGCTGTATATAAAATCACTCTGCTGAGGTCACTCGGACTGAGCGGCCAGCTTCTTTGCTCTGCGCGCTGCTCCAGACTTCCTCTTAGCTTTAGGCTTCTGGTTGGGACGATGGGACACATTTTTGCTTCCGCTCTTGGCATTGGGTCGATTACTGGAGGGACAACACACAGACCGAAAGAAAAACAAGTTAAGACATGCAAATATTGAGTGTTATTATGAGCAAGCTGGAGTTCAAACACTGAGCAGGGACAGTTCTGAGGACTCACCTCCTGGTCCTCTGAGAGTCCTGGACAGTGCAGGATTTGCGTTTGTGCTTCAGGCTGCCGCAGTTGAAGCAGCCCTCCGTCCCCTCACTCAGTCCACACGGGTGGTCCGGCAGGGCGCAGCGGCCACAGGGCGCACAGTGTCTCCAGGCTGAAAATGAAAGAATTCGAATAAACACAAAATATTAAAAAAACAAAAGCCAGAGGAGGGTAAAGTAGTTAAATGTACACTTCTGACGTGATTGTGTATAGATTGTGCAATAAGTTAAAAATAACTAAATCAGAACAAAACAAAGACTCCATTTTATTACTGGCTGCTTTCTGAGTTTGACCATTTTAATACTGTATCAAAAATCTTTAATTTCACCTCTGTTATCTAGCTTTTACCACACTCCATATTTATTTGTATAAATACTGCTGCTGCTTCTTTTCTACCAGAATGTGTACTTTTGTAAATTGTAATATATTTGATCTTATATTTTGACTATTATGTGCATGCCATTTATCAAATAGTGCTTTATTTTTTTGTCTCCAACTTTACTTTTGCTGTAACAATGTAAATGTCCCCTCATTGGGACGAATAAAGGAATTATGATTGATTGACTTACATGGTTTCACACACTTCTCACACGTTGAGCAATGCTTCCATTCTCGGCCGTCCTGGAGACAAAGAGTGAAATTAAGAACTTGTGAGGGAAATAAATGATGAGAAAATATGATATGTGGTGGTGGTGTTATACCTTGGACGGGCAGACATTGCATTTAGCACAGTGCTTGTTGAGGGACAAGACGAATCTCTGACATACAGAGCAAAATCTAACATGAGGACGAGAAGAGGAGAACACACATGACCTTTAACACTCGTAAAATAACTGCATGGCTGGGGGTTTTCAACTTCTAATCTGGAATTGATACTGTGTAATCTCATCATTATACTTTAACTTCCTTATTCATGTAACTTAAGTTCTTGTAATTTGCTTGTGCCAGATCAGCCATTAACACTGCTGCTGAGCTTAAGTGAAATACATTCAAGTACTGTATGAGAAGGATCCCTAAACTCAGTTCTTATAATAGGGGCATTTTACAGAAAAACAGAATGTACTATCAAAATAATTACTTTTGGCATATCTGCATGCAAGGAATGTTTCATTTGTTGGTCAACACATGCATTGATACAGCTGTGATGAGATTACATCAGTCAAAGTATTGTAAACTACAGCGGAGAGTAAATATGTCGGTACCTGTAGCCTTCGTCCTTGGGCAGGACGATGTCTTTTGGTGAAATGTTGGTGAAGATCCTCACCGGAGACTGCTTCCTGCCTGTTTTCCCATGTTTATACAGAGGATGGTTGTCATAGTCCACCTAGAAACACATCAAATATTTACATTATTGTTTGAGGAACACAAGAAATAGGTAGCACAGGGAGTGTTTCATCTAAAGGAAGCATTGCATATAGTTACTTTATTTCCATTAACAGAAAATCACTGTTGGACTTAAGAGACGCTAAATGACGTTTACACCTTCAGTGAATAATACAGACCTAAGGTAACTGAGGCATCCAAAACACCATTTCCAATAATCACCAAAAACCTCGCCATTAACGCGGAATTGAATTTATTATGGACAAACATTGCATGTGTTTCCAAAGATGTCTCATTAGTTTCATTGAAAGTGTGCACTACATGGCACAGTTGTCTCCTGCAGTTTGAACACTGACGGTGCTAGCAAGAGGAGATTCTATTGGATATGATATATGGAGCATGATAAGTACTAGTTATTACTTGTAAGAAAGTTCTCCATCTTGACATATCATCATGCTGTCTGAATAAATCTTTATCTTAATCTCGACAGCCTTGCAGTCAATCGCTTTCACAGCACACGTTTGTACTCGTCACAGTAGTAAAACATTTGTTATTATAATTATAATATGGATGGATTCAATGACTTTAATGGTTAAATATGTGCTTGTCAAAAGGAAAAGGTGTGCTGTGAATAAAAAAGTATTTGCACCTAAGTTTTCATCTAAGCTCCTGGAGGTGTCATCATTTCTGTCATCTAATGTCTTAACCAGTTTAGCTCCGAGCCTGTTTTTCAGGCCTCGGGCTCGAAAATGACATTCCCAGAACAATTGAAGATTTCTTTTTAAATGTTGAAGTTAAAAGCATCAATCTGGTGCACTTTGAGAGCAACATCAGGAGATCTATGGAAACATCTCTCAACATCCATATGAAACAGACCTGTAAGCAGATTTTATTTTTCTTTATGGATATTTTACAAATCACTCCCTTTTCAAACTGTATTCTTGTTTATTAATAACAACTTTTTTTTACTGTCATATAGTATTTTATACCCGTTTACTTTATTCTCTTATTTTGTTATAACTATAATGATCATATAAAGATGTGCCTTTACCTCACTGGTTGGAGAAAAAGCTTCTTATATTCGTTAGCATAGCTAGCTAACCAGATGCTAATAACAACAAAGTGATTGACTGTATGATCAGTATGACAGATGAACAGATCGCCACTGGGCTTTCAACTAAAGACACAGACACGCAGAAACTGTGGCATGTGTACGGCTCCTTATGGGTACTGACATTTTTGGAAGTGCCGGAGCGGCGTTCTGGTGCTCTCCGTCAGAACTACAGCCCTGTCAGACGAGACATATACCACGTGATGACACGTTAGGCTCGTGTTGTGTTCAAGGACCCTGACCTTGGCCAGGAGAAACAGGCACTCGCTTGTTTAATTCTTTTGCGGTCTAGATTTCTTTAATTTTTTGCGTGTGTTTATAAATTACCTCGAGGGCCGTACCAAATGGTCTCGCAGTCCGTATACATGTACATGGTTAATATTGTCTGAAAGCTGAGTTTCTTCCCGTTAAGTGGGTATGACACATTCATAGTTTGTTAAATGTTAAGAAGCCCTCAGACGCTGTTTCTTGCAAGATTCTTGCGTCATGCCCCCGGTACCGGTTGCATGGGGCTTAACTGGTTAAACGAAAAAGGTCCAACACAGGAACCGTTCCTCATGATTAATGACAGTGACGTTCTAAAGTTGTTTTTGATCAATATGTTCATTACATCATCATGAAAGTGATCACCTGGTAATCCAGCATGGTGAGTGAGGGGAGACACTCCAAGATGCGAGGCTCAAAGAAATATGGGAAGATCCACATCATGGGCATGTCAGCACCACTGCCGTCTGCACAGAAACACAGTAGATTTCTAATTTACCTCAAATAGACAGAAATCTGGAGAATAGAAAAGGATAAACGTCAGACTCCACAGTGAAACTGACCCGAGCTCTGCAGCTTCCTCCAGGTTTGAGAGAGCAGAGAGAAACTGTTGGCCAGAGGCTTCACCAGGCCCCCGAACGGAGGGTCCGCCACCATCACCAGCTTCCCCCCCTCACTCTCTGTGAGGAAGGCCTGAAGGACTGCACTAGAAGCCTAACAAGAGAAGGAGCTTTATTATCCTATACTATACACTCAATATCTAAAACAAAGGTGTTCGGACTGTACCTTTCCATCAAAGAAGTGGTGGTTGAACATGTTGTAGTGACAGAACTCATCCTGGCTGTAGAACTGAGCGTATCTGAAACATTATGAAGAAAGAATGTGTTAGTCGGCATTCACAAATTCAAATGACTTTGCTTCTGTTTGGTTCTTCTCTTAACAGCAGGCTGCAAAACAAGAGCAAGTTTAAACTCATCTACTGTAACACAGCTGACGTATGTGTGTATCCAGGTTCCAATAAATGTGCTACAGGCTGCAGCTCGTAACTCATGAACACACCCTGCACATTCTTTACTGAAACAGCAGAGACGCAGCACAGAATCACTGCAGGTAAGAAACTTTATTTAAAAATGCATAAGAATACAATGAAGGACTGTATCTGATTATATTGGGATTATATGATTTGTACAGCCTGTGGAGGTCTAAGAGTTGATTCCCCAGTAGAAAAGGATTTGTGTGACTGAACAAAAACCTGGTATTTTGTAGTTTTATATGCTAAATATGCCAAAATGCAATGCTTAACATTCAGAAATGTTTTTAACTGGTTGTTTTTTTTGTTAAGTTTGCTGAGAAAGTGTGCCTGAAAGAGTTTGAGTTAAATGCTTGTCATGGTGTCAGAATAGACATGTTTTCACAGATTTTGTAAAACCTGAAGAACTGGTTTATTGTTTTACAGTTGAAGCTAAAACACAGAGAATGCCTCGACAGTGTGAAAGGAGGAATCTGTCAGAAAGAGCGTAAATATATGTACGTTTGTTGTTTTGGAAAGAAATGGCAGGAAAGGAAGCATTATCTGTTGGTGATGGACAGTTAGCACAGAGTGGGCTTGTGGCCCCCCCCGCAGGCTCCCCTGCAGGCTCCCACAGTGCACTGCAGGAGGGGCGGGGCTTCTCTCCTCTGGACTCCAGCAGTGACCGGGTCCAGCCCTTCCCTCGCTCTCCTAAACTGCAAAAGAAGATTGCCAACTTTGGACAACCCTCTAAAGTGAACCTGAGCATGGTGAGGCACACTTATATTATTATATAGATATTATAGCTGAGTTTTGGGAATGATTTCACATACAGTCTCATCTGCATGCAGAGAAGACTTTTTTCTCAGACCTTAAAGGATGTAAACAGGCGAAGCTCGAACTGATGACTCATTTTAGAAACCACGGTGTAGTTTAATACACCTGTGCACTCTGAAGTGAGTACATCAAAGTGCATGTGCATCTCCAATCAGAATCGGTTTTATAACCAAGTCGGTTTACACAGACGAGGAATTTGCTTTGGTATAAATGTGCATACTAAGACAAAAAAATAATAATAATAAAAAGCTATTTAAAAAAACTATTTTAAGACAATTGTACCAAACAAAAAATAAAGACGATATTTACCCAAAATATAAATAAGTGAGAAACTGAGTACAGTAAAAATATGATAAAATATGACAAATACTATAAACTATATTGAAAGTGGAGAGCTGTTCTGATTTAAAACGAGGAAGTGTGGAGCAGAAATGTGCAACAAAGCTGGTCAAACGAACATGGAAACGCAGAAAAAAACAGAAGCGAGTTAATTCGAATGTTTCTGAAGAACATTTCAAATCAAACTGATATAAACATGGCTTCCAGGTATGTTACAGGATAGACTAGAACAATCAGGTTGGCAATGTTGGTAAATGAGGTGATGAAAACTTGTGACTATGATCCAGATATGGCTCATAACATTATTGTTGAATCATTTACCATGCAGAAATATCAAATAAAATGTCATCATCATTTCTATCACAGTAAACTGTCTTTTGGTTTGGGTTGACTTGTTTGGACAACACACTGTTTTAATCTAAAAACAAATCTATTATCTGATCGTCAAATCATATTTTGTTGCAGAAACGTCAACAAACCAATATTACTGGTGTGTTTTCTAGTTTGTATAGTTCAAACGCTTAAGGTTGTCAAAGTTGCAAATCTACTTCATACATGCCAACCTTTCCAAAAGAGGTAGGTTTGCGCGTGGCAAATGTTTACGCCCAAATTAGGTAATCAGAAGAAATGGAACCACGTTAATTACAGGTATAAACCATGTATTTAATATATTGCATCACTTTTTGCATTTTTCACAAAAATTGGTCATACAATGTTCAGTCACTTTAGTGCTTGGTATGTAGCAGACTTGGCTTTCTTGAGAAGTTCAGGGTCTGGTTTCCAGTTGCAACAGGTGACTTTTTTGAAGATGTTTATCTTCCCTGCCAACAGACCTTCGTGTGCTTCTCTCCTCTCCGCGATACCTTGATAAACTCGTGATCTGCTGTCCACTTGGCTTTAAACACATTGTCCCACCGCTTGGTGGGCTTCTTCTTCTCGGGGGTTCTATTCATCGCGAATTTCCATATCAAAACCTGTAGCTGTGTGTATTGTTGAACATCTCTGATGTGAATAAACAACACTGGGGCGCAAAGACCGAACATTAATCACGTGATGAGCAAATCCAATTTCATTGGATAGGAGCCAAAGTCGAGTCCATTGTCTATGGGGCGCCAAGGGGCATTTTTATTTGATTGATTGAAATCGGTAGGGAAAGCCAGCTAAATCGGTAGGCGGTAGAAACGTGTCAAAAGCGGTAGACTACCGCCCAAATCGGTAGGGTTGGCAGGTATGCTACTTTCATGCCAATACTGAAACCCGTCAGGATCAGCTGTCCAGACGTGTGGAGGAGCTGCAGGCAGAGAGGACCAGGACTGAAGCGCACATCCAGTCTCTAAAGAAACGCAAGGCAGATCTTTCTGTGAGTACGGGACCAGAAGCTCTCAATACTTCCAATAAACACCACAGGCAATGTAGTCTAGATGCCAGCTCAGAGTCCTAAAGTGAACCCTGAAATGTTGAGAACCCCACATTTTTATTTTAGAGATGTATAGTAGGGTCCCCAGCCCATAGAAACTGCCGGATGCTAACCTGCATATGTTGGGCAATTTGCACATTTAGCAAGTTGTGTTAATAAGCATGAATTACCATTATAGCCTACAGTATGTGGAGAATGTGGGTAATTGAGTCCATTTCTGACATTTTCAGTATCAGAAAATGCCAATATTTGTACTCTGTGGGCTTATTTTTATGCATTTTGGGTCGATTTGGAACATTTTGCAGACATTGGACAGATTGATAATTTGAAAGAAAATGGTCCACAGTAGAGATAATAATTTTCATCTTTTGCTCTCTATATCCAATGGTTGCAACACTGCTCATGGTGGTCGAAATCACAAATTCTATGTGCTGGGGACCCTTACTGTACATTTCTAACGTAAAAATGTGGGGTACTCAACATTTCAGGGTACACTATGCTGGCAACTAGACTAATAGGCTGATAACATATAAACCCTTTGGCTGTCATAATCTCATGTCCCCCCTGAAGAAGAGCACAGAGGTTATGAAACAACGCGTTCAGGAGCACTTCGAGAACATGCACTGTGTCCTGAAGCAGGACGAGCAAGCAGTGCAGGACTCTCTAGAGCTGGACCTGAGACAGGCCCGGACCAGACTGGACCAGGTTCTGAAGACCTGGCAGCTCCACCAGGACCAGGTCACTAAGAGCATCAGCAGCATGCAGAGAGCTCTTAACAACAGTCCCCTGGCAGACAAAGACGATAAGGTCTGTGCAGTGCACACTGTTCAAATGAAGTAACATAAGGTGTTGTTCTCCTGGTGTTTTAATCAGGGTTTCTGTTTGTCTCACTTCAAGGGTCAGCCAGAGAATCTGAGGTAAAACACTGCACCATTTGATGAAACGTTTACAACTCAGTTTGAGAACTTTCTGTCTGACATCTGCTCTTTGATCACTCTCGCAGTCCTAAGAAACCGGATGTCACCGAGAAGGAAATCCGCCTGAATGAAGAGAGATTTAAAAGGCTCCTCAAAACGTTATCGTCCATCTCCAAACAACTTAAAGCTCAGCTGCAGAGGAAGACGCTGCTGTTAGGTATTGAGGACATTATCTCTCCATCATGGAAATACCTTACACAAGCTAAAGCACTCAGGGCTAGAGGGTGTTGTAGTAAATCCTAGTTTATTAGGGCAGGTGACAATCATGTCAATAGTGATACAATTATTTTTACATGTCATTTTGTTTATATATATCACAAAAATTGGTTTTTCAGTTTTTAGCAGCACTCAAAGATGCTGCCTTACAAGGGGCCACCTGCTTAAGAGACTAATATTCACACAAATTCCCACAATGTGGGTCATGCTATCGGGAGAAAGTTTGGAAGGTACACTTCGATTGGAAAAGCCTCAGATTGGAATTTAATCAAGCCCTTTTGAATGTTATATGTTGACATGAAACCTATGGTATTTACTATCAATATAAAGTATTTTTCTACGTAATACAGTAGATTTGGAATTTATATGTTAAAAAGGTGCAGACTTAAAGCTGTAAAGATACTAAAGATTAATGGTTGAATTAAAGTGTCAAAATATAAATGTCTAAACAAATCTAAAACAAAAAAAAACCCTAACTCAATCTTCATCACTGATGAAAGCTAATAAATCATCCACAAATCTCAAACTGTGTGTAATTTCAGATTCCTCCCCCATGGTGATTGACAGGCAGACTTGCCATAGCCAGATCACAGTGACCTCAGAGGGGCGGGGCCTGTCCTTCTCCGGCTCCGCCTGCTCGGGACCAGCTCACCCCCTCCAGTTTGATAAGGTGTGCTGTGCTCTGGGCTCAGCTCCAGTCACAGCCGGGCAGAGGTACTGGGAGGTGGACGTGCGTTGCTGCTCTGCCTGGGCTCTGGGCACGGCCTACGCCAGCATGGAGAGGAAGGGCCGGGATAAGGGCAGCAAACTGGGCCGGAACAGGAACTCCTGGTGCTTGGAGCTCCGCAACGGCAATCTGTCTGCGTGGCACAACGACCGGCATGTGGCGTGCAAAGGCGTCGGGCAAATGCCGCTGGGAAAGGTGGGGATATGGCTGAACTATGACAAGGGTCAGCTGCTTTTCTACGACGCAGACACCATGGCGGTCCTACAAAGGTTCTCAGCAGCGGTGACACCAGTTTTCGACCGCGCTCACCACCAGTTCACCCAGCCTGTGTACCTTGCCGTGCGCTTCCTGAGACCCCCAGAGAACCAGATGTGGCCCAATCACCTGGAGCTCTGTCCCCTCAGCACTGCATGATGCTGCAGTGTCACACCAGACAGTGATCTGGGCTACATCTGGATGTTTTGCTAATGATGATGTGTGCAGTCTTTTATGTCGAATTTATTCATAGGTTTATATGAGAGCAGCTGTACAGTAAAATACATCATGATAACAGATGAGACAGCTAACCTGAAGTCAATGTCCAGAAGCAGACTCTTCATTGGCTCATGTTTTCCCTCCAGGTTCCGCAGCGTGATCAGCTCCTGAAGTCTGGAAAAACATTAATCATTATTGACTTAAAATAAATCGAGAGAAATGTTTAAAAGGTCATTCATTGCTTATTTTCAGCGTAAATGCAAGAAAGTTGGAAGCCTTGAACAGTTCCATGCATTGCTACATGTATCATCATCAGCACAAATCACCTGCATTCCAGTTCATATGCATTTGGTATTTTAAGTTCTTTGTAATAAAGGTATCTTTGACCACTAGGCCAAAATGACGTGCTTGTTTTTTAATTATTTGAATGAGAGCTAGAATTCAGTTGTTAGGGCAAACTAGCCGAGCATTATTTTGATAAAAAATCTTGTTGTAATCTCCCTCACCTGGGTGTTCCCACACAAAGCACCTTGTTGTATCCCAGAGCAGCCAGGGAGTCGAGCAGGAAGTGTGCGCTGCGGTCGGTGAACAGGTACTGGGCGTTGCTCTTCTTGTTAAGCAGAGGACGGAGCAGCACACTGGGTCTCCTCAGCTGAGCACTGGAGACCCCCACTGACCTGTGAGAGGAGTGGGCCTCATGCTCTGCTGGCAGCAGCAACATCTGACAATCCTGACAGAACTTCTTCTCATCCAGCCGCAGGGAGCCCAACTTTTTAAACCTGAGGGACAAATGACAGACCTTTTAGAAAAAGTTGATGACTATGCTCATTTTTGTTATGGGAGCTAAGAGTTTGGGCATGATGTTTTGACATTATAACCATTAAAATCAAAAGTCAAGTCAAAGTCGGCCTAAATAAAATCTAAGTTGCTGTGAACAGACGAGCATGTGATGTATGCCACAAAGTTTCGAGACATGACAGCCGGCACTGAGCGCTCTGATTAAAGCTTTGATTACTAAACTTTATCTATAAAAACACATTTTTACATTATGTTTTCTGCTCATTTACAGCTGCTGGTATAGTTTTATTTTTCTCAGCCTGTCAGTAGCTAAGGGAAATCCCCTTACATGCACGGAATTTGACCAAGATAAGATTTATTTTATTGATCTTAATTTGGGAAATGTTTTTATCACAGCAGCATGTAAACAAGGCCTTGCACACAATGTGATGATGAAAAAGAACAGACAAACATAAAATATAAACTTCTCAAATAGAAGATAAAAAACTGAACTAAAAAGTATAATATATACAAAATGACAGTGAAGGATATATATCTAGACCAGGGATGGGCAAATGGCGGCCCCCACCTTCTCTTTTTGCAGCCCTCAGATTAATTTATAAATCATTTTTTATTGTTTTACTTGTAGTACTGATACCGTCCACTAGACTCCTAGTTACGTCGCGAGCTGCGTACATGATTTCAAATACCGCGAAAGAATCTGTGACGCGTTTGTGTGTATTGTGTTTGTTTCCCGGGGAAACACTCACAAGAAACACCGGCTGTTGTTATGCCTGCTGTGACGTTAAGTTACCGCTTGTAATTATGCCTTTACAAGCTTCAAAGTTGTATTTATCATCTGAATTTGGCAAAACAAGTTTAATATTCTAAAAACCAAGACTTTGTTTATTTGAAATCAGATGAAAACAAACTGTCACGGACCCTGCCGTGTTATCTATGATTACTATACGCTTTTCATTCATAATTTCAGCGGGAGGGAGGGGGAGGGGCGCTGAGGAATAGCAGAGTGCGGGTTGACATGCAGGTGTCTGTGTTGACATTCCCCTTATTGTGGAATCAGGGGAATGCAGAGACAGGCTACAAGTGTCTAAAGGCCCGGACACACCAGTCCAATTTTGGGAGTCAGAGGCAGTCGGGCATTCGCGGCGCCCTACTCAGGTTTGTGTGTCCCGCACCGTCGTCTCTTTACGGCACCTTTTCACACCTTCCGACGCCTCCCGTGGCCGATTCAACATGTTGAATCGGCCGCGGGAGGCGTCGGGACAAGCAATCACTCTGATTGAGGTACGCTCCTGGAAGAATTAACTGGCAAGGGTCAACTTAATGACGAAATCGCGGTCCATTCAAAAGTCTACGAAAACAGTTGACGGTATATATATATATATATATATCATTGATTATAATTACTGATGCATGATCATTGTTCATTTACCTATTGTGAGCATCACATGGAAATGTACATTTGCAAGACTGTTTCTGCCCCCTCTATTCACATGTAACCTTTCATACGTAATGGTTTCTTCATTCTCAAACTGTTGTGGAGCAGAAGTATACAGTTGCAGGATTAGTCTCAAGTACCTCAAGATTGTCCTTAAGTACAGTGCCTAAGTAAATGAGCTACTGTCTACCACTGTTCATTGTTCATTTACCTATTGTGAGCATCACATGGAAATGTACATTTTGCAAGAAGTGGCCATTATTCAGATAGTGTTTCTGTCTGCCCCTCTATTCTTTCTCCCATTATCCTCCACAATCTGCCTAGAAGTATTTTAACGTTGTAGCTGTTCAAGATGGTCATTTTAAAATGTGTCTAATATACTGTTAGTAGTTAAACCAATAATAATGTGCGGCTGCAACTGGCAGTTATGTAGGCACATTTTTTATTTACGCTGTGTGATTAAAAGAATAAACACAAATAGCAGGATAGGCAATACAAAACTTTATTTCGTACCTTGATAACACAGCATTAGACATATTTGGCAAACTCTTTTTTTTTATTGTATTACACACTATTTTTATCGTATTGTAGTTGATTGTTGACATTGTACAGTTCTATAGACATATTTGCTGTATCTTATCCCACTGAAAAGGCACTGCACCGACACCGTTAAAATATTGGCATAGTTCATCCCTGTGCTGCTTGGCTCGAGCTGGATTATTGGTGGTGTGAGCTTCTCGCTGTAGTATCCATGTTTTCACCCATTTAGTGCGGTTTCTCCTGATTTTTCGCTTCCGCTTCTTAATCTCTGCAGCCGCAAGCAACACTCCAATTGCTGATAACGCCAGTACCGTACGATACATGTTTTCGATCGACGAGAGAGTGAAAATGGAACCCAGACGCTGTGTTTGTTTGTTTATATCACTCAGTCTGTTCTTCTTCTCTTGGTGTATAAAAGGCAGTCTGTCTTCCGGTTGTTGCCTCTTTTGAATGACGAATACACACTACCGCTGCCTGCTGGTAAGGACAGTTATTGCCACTCGTCGACTGAAGTATTTGCGGTGTGTTCGTAGACGGGCGGCGTAGCGGGTTCCAAGTGAATCTGCGGCCCCCTGGTGGCCAGTACATCAATTATGTGGCCCCCACCACCATCAAAGTTGCCCATCCCTGATCTAGACTATCTGTCATTATACACTACGAAGGGCCAATTACAGCGAACAAAATGTAAAAGTAGGAAAATATTTACATTAAGTCAGTGTAAGAAAAAGTGTTTAGAGACAAGTGAGCTTGGCAATTTACTGAAAAATTGGGGCCACTGGAATCTTCTTCTTCGGCATCGTATTTTACATTTTCCCACGGTTTTACGACACCGCTAACGTAAGTGAGCAGTAAGATTTTACTGCATCACACATAGGGTTGGGTATTGTTTGGATTTTATTAAATTAAAATAATAATTTGAACAGTATGTTTTTAACAGTTGATTACCCTGAACTTTAAGTATAATTCAACTGAAAAACCAATAAAAAATAAATTATACATTTATATCTACATTTAAATAAATAATATCAAAATAATAATTACCAATAAAGAAGATAAACAAATATTTTGGAGCGCACTTCCACAACCTACTAAACATATATAAATATGATAACTAATGTCACTCACAACCTGTAATGTTTAATTATACTGCTACACGCAGTGCTCTTATTTTGGTAACCCCTTATCCGGAAACCGGAAGTAGCTAAGAGGCTCCGGCTTGACAAGGTTAGTGAAAGTTGACTGAACGCTAGAGACAAAATAAAGACACAGCAACTAAAGCTTCCCTTGTAACGTGTTTATATGGATTTATTAAACAGACTGCAAGTCACAACACAACCTGGCTGAGAGGGCTTTTAGGGAGGGGTGAAATGACAAATGGACACTCAAGAAATCACTAAGGACCTACCGACCAAGAAAAAAAACATAAACCACGTGTCTCCCATCAGTTAACGTATGTGAAGAAACAAGAGAAAGACTGAGAAAATAGCTAAAAAAAACATAACAGTTACGGACGCGCTAGAGATTATTTTCGCTAGCACTCGTGAAAATGGAGCATCAGAACCAGAAGGCTTCAACTCTTCTTCTGAAGAAGAAGAAGAATACAGGGACAACAAGGATCCATTTGGACATGGGTAAGTGTAAATATTACAGTAATAGTGTACTTTCACTTTGTGTGGAATACCGCAAAAATGAACAATAGGTTTATTGAACTTTTTCTAGGGACAAAATAGACTCTCAAATAGTTAACTTTTACTCTGTGTAAATGTTTTTTATGAGTAAAAGTTATTTTGATGTGTAAAAGTGAGGTTACATGTTTAGATGAAAAAATTATCGTTTATTTCGTCCCACAACGGAGACATTTACAGTGGCTATAGACATGTATTTACTGTGTTGTACAGAGGGGAATTTGTAGATTATTTATTGTGTGTCTGTGATTTTATTAACCGAATGTAACAGTAACTGGAAATACCTGTGTGTGGTGAGAGAGAGAGGAGAGAGAGAGAGAGAGAGGAGAGGCCGAGAGAGAGGAGAGATGAGAGAGAGAGAGGAGAGACGAGAGAGGAGAGAGGCGCGAGGAGAAGAGAGAGAGAGGAGAGAGAGAGAGAGAGAGAGAGAGAGAGAGAGAGAGAGAGAGAGAGAGAGAGCAAGGAGGTCTCTTAGAACATGGGTTCCCAAAGTGGGGGTCGCGAGATAACAAAATAAAAATAGAAAATAAAAAATAAAAAAATTGATGCCATTTTTTTATTATTATTATTATTATTATTATTAATAACGTGTCCATAGACATTTTTCAGGGGCAGACTGGCCATCTGTAGAATTTCCCCGCAGCGAGGCTCCCCCCGTTGACAATCCACTAGCGCAGTGTTTCTCAAACCTTTTCATACCAAGGACCACTTAACCAATAAACAAACACTCACTGACCACCTGACTCCCCAAATATGCAAAAACAAAAAGGCCTGCTTACCACTCCAACAGTATATAACAAATCACAGCCTAATAATGACAGCTTAACCTTCTCTGTATCGCCTCGTTCACACATTAAATCAACAATACAAATACAACTACAGATTATATAAGCATTTCGTTCAAATAAGATTTAAAATGCTCACGGGTTTTACACCTCTTATGAAATGTAGACTACATTTATTACAGAGTTTATGTCCAACAGACTCACAGATCGTTGGCTACTGAGAGGTATGCAAACTACACCGCATGTAGTACGACACAAAGCTCCGCTGTGGATTTTCAAAACAAAATACAGTAGAACTATGGTCGCAGGCCCAAGTTTAACTCTCTGAGGTCTAAGCATTTTTTTTCACATGTTAGGCTCGCGTGGGCTTTTTTTTTGTAAAAATGCTATTAAAACATGAACCTTGTGACCATCAGGCTGGCCTGCATGGTCTGCCTACAAAACAAAAATAAAAAAACGTTTATGCAGCCCCAACAACAGCCTTTGATCATCAACAGACTTCATGCAATGCTTCATTGGATGCATATATTATA